TGGGGCATAGCATGCGTAGTAGGCAGGCCTACAGACCCATCTCGCTCCTATCTTCTTCTGTTTCTTGACCTATGGCAGTTGAAGACCAAATGCGCAAGGTCCAGAAATCAGAAAGAGGCAAATAATGATTGCTCGACAACACATCACATTGCTTGCGCTTGGCGGAAACAGTGCATCACAAATGGCAGAGTGTGCCAACACGTCTTCTTTTCTGGACAATACAAACTGCAAAAGCTGTCTACGGATCGAATTGCCTTCAAATTTAGACTAGGCCACTTTCCTGGATCAAACATTTGGAGCTCATCACACAAAGGGTTCTTCTCTTCATGACTTTGAACCATGTGTGATCCAGTGGCTGTGCGCCTTCATGCCAACATCAGTATGCGAAAAACGCAACCCAAGGCCTGCTCTCCAATCGCTTTTGAAAGGTTAGGAGCCTAACTCAAGCCTTGTTTACAAGGGAAGGATTGCATGGCGGGGCTGCTGCAAGAAGATTTATGACATGGAGTGCCTGGTCTGACTTCAACTGAGGCCAAACGCACATCATCACAAAAGACTTTTTTGCGCTTGGCGAAATCTTGCCGTCACAACGCAATCAAATTGAAAGACACCAGAACAAGAGTTGGTTGTAGGCACAGCTATTTGCAAAACGCAAGAATTGTTGAAAGCCACCCGGACTTGAAGACCTGGTTCAACACTTAAGTAATGATGCAAAAACATATTATTGTTAAGAATAGCACTTCTGGCATCATGTAGATTTTGAAACGTTCAGTTAAGTGCATCTCTGGATGTTAGCTAGTGATTTATCATTGACTGCAAGGATGCACTGTATGTGTGGGTGAAGCAACGATGGATGTGTGGCTGCTACACAGTTCTACATCCAAGCAAAGTTGTCTTCTATATACATGTTTTTTGATTTTCTGCAAGTTTTGCAGTGCTTTCCTGGAAGAAGAACAGTGTTGCGCGTCCCTATTGAAAGCCGAAAGTACACAAGCAGTTACCAAAATACTTAATTTTGAGTAAGCATGTCGGATGATCAGTCTGCGTGTTAAACGGCTGACTGCACCTGTCTGAGGCGCATCATGTCTGAAAGGCGAAAGGATCACTCCCTCGTCATTGAGGGCAAATAGATAAAGCCGTCAAAGGCGGTCAAAGGCGTTTTGTCAAATTTTGACCAAATGATAGTGACACTGTGGCCACACTGCAGCCTTCAAGAGCTGCAAGGCAACCGAAGAGCCTTGAGTCTTGTGCCCCCAGAAGAGAAAACGGTTGAAGATCAGCCCACACTCGTTGAACTTGTTTCGGGCTGCCTTGACTTTTCTGACTGCACTGTTTCTCAAGCGCTCTATGGACATATTCGCCTGTTGTAGCCAGGCGTCATGTGAGCTAGTCCTGGTGTGCACTGCAGGTTGTATGCTCGCCAGAATGGATGTTGGAGGAAAAGTATCATCGACAATAGTCCTCAGCGGCTGCTTCAGCTTCTTCTTTCTTCTCTTCTTTTTTCTTCTTCTTTCCGTCCTCGCAACGAAAGCACTGGAGCGCAAAACGGGAGCAAGCGCCAGAAGCAATGGAAGCAGCGCAAAGCAACAGAATCCGAAACCAGCACACACACGTCCTTGGTCTTGCCTTTGCCTTCTGCCTTGCCTTTACCATCTGCCTTCCCTTTGCCCTCGCCCTTTCCTTTGCCTTCTTTGCCCTTGCCTTCTCCCTTATCCTTACCCCTTTCCTTCCCTTTCTCCTGAGCGAGACAAAGAGGTACGATAGGAGCAAAATAACGAGAAATAGGAAACTCCGTCCTTTCCCTTGCCTTTTCCCTTTGGTGCTGGAGATCCTAAGTGGCTTCAGTGCGGTGATCTTCTGAAGGTGTTCAGTCTGCAAACTGGGGCGGCAGCCTGTGGCAGATTGTAGATCTTGTGCCTGTGGCATGCCTGCCTGGCAATCATAATGCCCAACATCTTAAACAAAGAACTTACTGCAAAATATGAAAAACATATGTGTACAGTGTACTGTAATATTATATGGATCCATAGTGGCACCATACAGTGACAGCAATTGCATCGATTTCTTTCCTGCAGAGTTCTGTAATCACATCACTTTGCAGCTGCACAATATGCAGCGGAGTACCGTCTGACCTAAGGGAAATAATCACGGACAAAGGTGAGATACACCTTACTTAAGCATTAGGCTGGAAACGCAAGTGGAACCGCACTAGTAGACCGGCAGGACGAGGTTGTGTTTCTAGATGCCCACAAGTCTTTTGCGGATTCGGTGACCGAGTAGGGCAAAGCAAAACCCACCAACTAAGTGCGACATGCGCAAGTGTATGGAAAGAATCATATGCAGGCTTACCGCCCCTCTAATTCACAAATATCCATATCCATATCCACCATGGTTCGCTTGAAACGTATCAAAGGTGTCTTTCTTGCAAGTTTGAGTTCATCCAAGCCGAAGCACAACCAAACATCAACCTGTCAGGCCATACCCAGTCCAGGAGCATTATCCCGATTCCACGAAAGACAAACACACCGTTCATGAATACTGTGAGAAAATACTCAAGACACCCCCTGAACCTATTTTGCAAGGACCGGTGCTGTTCCCGGTGGTTTTGCTTCTAACGACCTGCTTGCTTCTTTGGGTTTCGGAGACCAGCGTGGGGGTTGCAACACCATCCTGGGACCATCCATGGCCCTCAGCATGTGAAGCATGCGCCAAGGCTTTAATCACTAGAGAGATGCAGGAGTGAAGAGTCCTCAGAGTCCTCTCATCCTTCCTGTGTCTCAACGCTTGTCTTCACCACATGCCTCGTTCACAGTCACTGTCAGGGTCACCTCAGCAAGTCCCCTGTTTTGAGCGGTTCCTCTTATTTTTGCTATTAGGTTGGAGGCCATTGCTGTTAGGTTGGAGGCCATTGCTTCTAGGTTGGAGGCCATCACAATTAGGTTCTGTCATGCCTTGGCCACTCCGAGATTCATACCTCATCACCCACTTTGAAGCCATTTAGTTGAGCCTTGGCTTTCTGAACACGAAAGCAAGTGTTCAAGTCAAGTACATCATGGGGTCGTCGCCTTGTGAACAAAGAGATCTCGGCCAAATTGTTGCGTGACTCTTGGACACTCAATGAATCCATATCCTGAAAGTGCTGCATTGGGTGGAATAGTCTTTGAGGTCGAATGAGAGAAAATTATTCATGCCTTTATCATCGTAGAAGGACTTTATTCTTCCAAGTTCGCCTTAGAGTTGAATTCAGTTTGCAATTGACAAGTTGAATGTGCTCAAATCGCAGCTTGCAAATCATACCTGGGCCCATCCACGTGTAACATTTCCCGTCGCTGCGCCTTTGTGCTGCACCTGAACTGGAATGTAGGGGGGCCTCAGGTGAGCATGTGCTGAAATTGTTTGACAATTGACATTCCATGAACAGTTTTGAAACAAATTCGCAAATGGCTTCAGTCTGGCTACAAATGTGTTGACTGATCCCTTAGGCTCAAACATCATGGTCGGTTGTTGACCGAGTTGTGGATAGGGAAAGGGCAGCGGAAATGGAGGGTAGCCTGCGGGGCTGAAACTGCTTTTTCGAATCGATTCAAAAAATTGTTGACAAGCCTGCGGCTTGCATTGGTGGCAGCAAAGGATTGGAGGATGGAACGAATTCAGGAGCATCACCTCGAAGTGTTCCTGTCACCGCACCTGCAGGTATCATATCATTCTCAAACGCTTCCACGCCACTCATTGCGCCCTCACAGCTATATAGACATTAGCACTGCAGTCCTGCCTCCTTTCTTTTCAGGGGATGGCACTGACGCTGCGGCAGCGCTTGTCGCGCCTTCTTTGAAAGCCTGAAACAAAAGTGCAGGTGCAACTAGTAACTAGCAATGCTTTGGCTGTCCCTTTCACCTCTTTTACTTCCATGAATCAGACCTTCTTCTCATCCTTGTTGTACGCTCGGATGTACACACAGTCCGGGCTCAGTTGATAGCCTCAAAGACCCTTGAATGTTGAAACAACCTCTTCCAACTGATAAGTCTTAAGTGAAAGCGAAAACAATGATATCTCAAGTTCCCTTGACCTCTCACCAAACAATCAATTTGGCTTGTTGACGGAGCTTCTGCGCATTCGAGTCGACAATCACCTGCGATAGTTTCTACAAGTGCAAAAAAATGTCTCGGATTCTTGAAGCAAGGACATTTCATGAGACCTCGTGCCTTCATCAGAATCTCCCGAGTCATGTCCTTGAAGTAGTCAGATGCCAATACGTCGTTCACCTTCACCCAGCCATCTGCGCTGTCTGAGGTCAAGCCCACCTTAGCACAAACCACTAAAAAATCTTCCATTGCTTGCTGGCTTACCGCCACTGCCAGCTCAAACCTGGAGCTCGACAGCAAATCTGAGGCCATGACGCTCTTGTGCTTGATTCCATGCCGCAGAAGCCAGGAAAGCATCTTCGATATGACCACGGTCGGATCATCTGGCGAAAATGGTGAGATTCTCCAATTTATATAGAGTGAAAGCATGTGAAAGCTATGCACATCCCGCAGCAAAATGCATTGCATGCATTGCATAGGGGGATCGGCCTGGCTTGACAGCTTTGCCAGGAGGCTTGGCGGCCGTCTCCACCACCATCTCTGCAGGTCAACACTGGGGACCAGCTTGGGCAGAAACTACGATGGCAAACATTGGCAGCGCTCAAACAAACACATCACGAAAAGGTAAAGGGAAGCCTTGCAAGCATCCATTTTTCCACTAAGCAAAGAAAATCTGAAGCTTGTAGGCCTTGAAAACCCTAGATGACAGCTTGACAACTTAAAACTAAGGTCGGGCAACCATGTGTTTCCAAGGCCGCTTCAAACAGAGACACTGCATGGTAAAGGCCATGCGACATCTGAAAATATAAATCTGGCACAAGTTCTTGTTGTTTAAGGCGATTCAATGCAGATAGACTGACTTAAGGGCAGTTCATTAAAATAAAACAAAACGTGCCAACAAAAGAAAAAGTTGTGAAACTAGGTAGCTGCTGGCAGGTTCACGTCCCTGGAAATATATAAAAAGGATCACAGGACCGTTGGCACTGCAAAGTAGAGGTCCCTGAGGTTCTGACTTAGGCCCTTCATATGTGACAGGATTGTGGATGTCGAAGCGCGCGATGCCTACAGTAATGTTCCAAGGCTGGTGGGCGGAAGGCTGCAAGTCATGCCAAGCAATGTCAGGCCTTCAGGAATGTCATCCTGATATTTCTGGAAGGCCTCACCAGACCAATCGCATCAGACCAGAACAGTTCACCTACCCTTGTCTTTAGGCCTCCAGTGCCGCTTTCTTGTCTCCAGCTTTGATCGCCTTCTCAAAAGCCTTGACAGAGGCCTCGATGCAACAAGTCAACAAAACTTGAAGAAAGGGACAGCAAGAGCAATATTCTCAGCTTCAAAGAGGCCACGGCATTCAGCCTGTAAGTGTTCTTGTCGGGAGCCGCTCCCCGCGACTGCAATCCCTGGCAAGCATGAAGACAAAGCCTAGAAAAGAAATAGAGAAAGAAACATGCTGGTGCTGCAGCATAGGCTTCCATCTTTCGGCACATCTTCGGCAAGAACAGCATCATCCTGGCTCAATGCACTGCCCAAACTCCGCACAATCAGGCCAGCCAAACCGAACCTTTCATCAATTTCGTGCGTCTCCAAGTAGTCGATGCCCTGAAGTGCTGGGTATCACAAACAACATCCTGTCCAGTGTCTACGCATCCCCACCTGCTTCATGTAGGGAACGAGCTCTCTTTTGCGCCTCGAACCAGTAAACTAAGACCCAGTTACGAAGGCGGCCCTTTGATGTCCATGTCAACATCTGCCAACCCCTTGTGCCAGGAACAGCACACGAAAAGGACAAAACGTGCTTTTGCCATGTGTTGCGTTCTTTCAGAACATCTTTACCTCCTGTCAGCTTATGAGGTACGACCTCCCATGAATTAATGGCTCAAGTTTAATGAGATCCAGGCCAAAGTGGAAGGGCTGTGAAAGTGGGCAAGAGCTCTGGAGCAAGGGTGGAGCAACAGCTGTAATCAAAGACGCCATAGGAGCGGGAGTCACAAGGGTATGGAAAGATCATTGAGCAGTTATCACAAGATGCCTTGTTGGCAATGATGGGATGGATGGGCAATGGAGAAGGAACTGGTCATGAAGAAAGGAAAATAATTCTAGACAAAAGTAGCCAAAAGCAGAGTTAGTTTCCCAGCGGAAAGCTGCCAAAGCTTGAAAGGGAAGAGAACTCAACAGGGGCTTCCAAAGAAAACCTCTACTAGCAGGGGGTGAAACCACAAAAGTAGCAAAAAGCAGGATTTCTACAGCCTGAAAATTGGCCAGACTGGGCCAGAAGTATATAAGTAGCCATCTCCAGAGAGAAGTAGTGTCTTTCTACTAGTAGTACCAAGAAGCTACTAGTATCAAAGGGCATCGCTACTAGGAGCAAGGACGCTACTGGTAGCTCCTGGCACTACTACTAGTAACCAAAAGCTACTAGTAACAAAGGGCATCGCTACTAGGAGGAAGGACGCTACTAGTAGCTCCTGGCATTACTACTAGTAACAAGAAGCTACTAGCAACAAAGGGTGTCGCTACTAGCAGCAAGGACGCTACTAGTAGCCCTGGCATTCCGACTAGTAACAAGAAGCTACTAGTAACAAAGGGCATTGTTACTAGGAGCAAGGACGCAACTAGTAGCTCCTGGCATTACTACTACTAACAAGAAGCTACTAGTAACAAAGGGCATCGCTGCTAGGAGCAAGGACGCTACTAGTAGCTCCTTGCATTACTACTAGTAGAAAAAGCTACTAGTAACAAAGGGCATCGCTACTAGGAGCAAGGACGCTACTAGTCGCTCTTCGCATAGAAGTAACAAGAAGCTGCTACTAGTAACAAAGGGCATCGCTACTAGGAGCAAGGAGGCTACTGGTAGCTCCTGGCATTGCTACTAGTAACAAGAAGCTACTAGTACCAAAGTGCATCGCTACTAGGAGCAAGGACGCTAC